GTGCTGATGGCTGCAAACAACAAATCGAGGTGATGACAGCTCCTCTCACTTTCCTCCACCACCCTTTAAATTTTATCTGTCTGGGGCGCATGTGTGCATGTGTATAGAGGTTGGAGGAGAGCTTCGGGTTTCATTTCTCCTCAGGTGCCTTCCACCTTGTGTCTCTGAGACAAGGTCTCTTGCTGGGACTTGGGGTTTACTATTTGGCTAGGCAGGCGAGTTCATTCCAGGGATCACCCTGTCTCCGCCTCCCCAGCACAGGTAATTACCAGTCAATGCCACCACACTGGATTTTTACATAAGAGCTGGGGATTGAACTCAGGTCCTCATGCTCACACAGTAAGCATTTTATTGGCTGAGCTACTTCCCAGCTCCTCAATTTCCAATGGCCACTAAGACGGCAGGCAAGACAGAGAGGAGAGTCTCCTCTACTGTAACACTGGAATTGCTGCCAATCATCTCTTTGGCCTTTTCAGTTTACAGTGTACCTCAGCAAAGCCACATGTTCATGGAAACACTGTGTTCACTGTGGCCTGGCTAGGCATGGAGCAGCAAGGTAGGGGAAGCATGGAAGCACCTCAGTATGAATGCACCAGGCCCATGTGGCAAAACGAGTCATTTCCTACAGAGCAGTGTGAAGACCAGTCATGCCTTATGTGGGTGGAAGAAATGATGCTCCTGTCCTCCTCTATGCCCCAGGAACACAGACAGCAACTGATCTGTACTACCAGGGAGGAGAAGGCAGTCCAGTGCTGGGCCTGAGCCTTGCTGAGCAGCCATGCAAGCTGAGTGCCAGAGAAGAACTGCTCAGGATCTAGCAGGTGCTTGATGAAGACGGAGAACCTTCCAGAGACCAATGAGGTATTGCTTGACAGGTATAAACTAGACCCTCTTTCCTTTTCCCATGAAGTTATCAGTAACATAAACCTGCTCGAGAAATCATTGTAGAGCTGGTTCTCACATCCCCATCCCTCTTTGGCCTAGGACCAAGTGCTGAGTCAGTCACATCAGGGACCAGAAACAAGAGGGAGGTCACATGGGAGAAGCACTTGCTGTACAGAACACTATGCTGATACAGAGTTAACATGTACTGAGGTCTCTTCGGGTTCCGGAGCCCGGACTTGTTTCATCTTGTTAAGAAACAGTGGTTGGCAGCAGCACTGTCACTGTCCTCCTTTCCCATGCATGGAAACTGCAGTGACCCAGAAGATGAGAGCCACAGGCCCACATGGAGGTTAACGCAGAGTCTATGAGATAATCGGTCCCAAGCAGACATCATGCTTTGTTTCCCCTTTGGTGCTGGGGATTTGAACCAGGGCCTTGTACATGCTAGAGAAGAGCTTCACTGCTGATCTATACCCTCAGCCCCTTTCTAAATTTCCCAAGTTGTCAAGGGCAGTCTTCAACTTGTCCTAAGAAGCTGAGACAGCAAGTGTATGGCATGACACCTGCCAAAGACATACTTCAAAATTATATAACTTTGACTCCAGAGTCTTGCTCCTCAGTAAGGCCTGATTTACTGACTGCTAATCACTGTTAGGGAATCAGGCTGTGCCATTTGCTGGCCCCTGAGTAAAACTCAGGAACAGATGTCTTGTTCCCTCGCCTGTTCAGAACTTCTCTCTAGGGAATAAGTCCAACAGAATGGCCTTCCAAAAGCAAGACGGGTGCTGGTCAAGGACACAGTAATAACTGTGCATCTTTGATGTCCAACAGTGCTCTCTCAATGAGAACCAACCCCGTGTTTACCATGTGCTAGGAGCTCGGTAGAGTATTACTAAGCATTGAGAAGTACAAAACTAAGATAGAGACTCTGTCCTCAGAACACTTAAAATAGTTGGGAAGGCAGGCATGTATAAAATTAAATATATGTGGGTTAAGAATGTCTTAATTGAGGCTGTCTGAATTTACCATAAATGAGGAACAGATGAGAGCTCTGAAATCTGAGAGCTAGGATCGGTTGCCTCTCCTTTGGGACTCCAGGGAGCTGGAAGCCTGGGAGAGGTGTCCTGCAGCTGAGTCTGGAAAACAAGTAGCACTTAAGTATGCAAAGGAGAGGAGCACAAGGGGTGGTTTCTAAAACAAGGAGGAGCAAGTGCACAGAGGCCCTCAAGTGGTGAGGCTGGTACAGGGGCATCCGTTTAGCTGTGGGTACCTGGGAAGAAAATCCAGATATGGAAGAAGGGAAGAAAGGAGGGCTAGAGAGGGCCTTCAAAGGCAGGCCAGGGGCTCTTGGCTTCATTGTATGGGTTTGTCATTGTCACATGGCATGTTAGCCCAACTGTTCAAGGTAGTTCCCATGGTGGTGCTATTGGAAGAGCTAGATCTAATACAAAGTTTGGATCACTGGGGCGTGTCATCAAAAGTCCCAGTCCCTTCACTCTCTATGAGTGGTTTCACTCTGCCCTCTGCTGCCACCATGGTATGATTCCTGGCACGAAGCAACAATGACTATGCCATGGGAAACTTCCAACACTGGGAGCCAAAAACAAACATTTTCTCTTTATCAGTTGATTTTCTCAGGGATTTCATTGTAGTGACTGAAAGCTAACTAACACAGTATGCTGTCCCAATTCCTACCAGTAGGGTAGAGAATATCTCTCAGTTTGTAGAGTGCAGCCTAGCATGCAGAAAACCCTGGCTTTGATTCCCAGCGATGCTTAAAATCAGACACAGCAACACACATTTGTAGTCCTAGTTCTCAGGAGGCAAAGGCAGGAGGATAAGAAGTTCAAGTTAATTCTTTACCATCTTGCAGTGCTGTGGACCACTGTCCTCTGAACATTGTGGCCAGTACCATCTCCATGAGAACAGCTGAAACTACAGTAGAGTCTCAAGGTCAGGCTTGTAGTTTCTTCATGGGAGGGGCTGAGGAGCAGACCCTCACTTGAAGTTCTAGATACTCCTGCCAATACCTCCCAAGCTGCAGGTGCTAAAATATATAGGGTATAGAGGGTTAACCGAAAGGAAGACACCATCTATACAGATGTGGGGAGGTTGCCATCCATGTTGGGGTGACAGCTGGCAGTGATATTGCTTTGGGGTCACCCATGCTCTTACTCACACACAATGAACAATGGTTGGCCAAGTTGGACTCTGCTGAAATCATTACATTGGTTGGTCACTGGTGCCCTATCTGGGGTAAGTAGAATAGAATGTTTGTGTTGCCCCAGGGAAAGTTCACAAACCAGAGGGGAAATCCAAAAGTCTAGTTTTCTTTTCTTTTTTCTTTTTTCTTTTTTTTTTTTTTTTTGGTTATTTAGTTGTTAAATAATTTTAATTGTTTCTATTTTGCTTTGATCATACTTGATGACTTCATTTGAACATGAATCCTCCTAAATAAAAACAATAGAATGCTTTACAATAACATCAAGAAAACTAATCATCCACCTTTTCATCTGTAGAACATATATACAGATCCAGCATCAAAAATACTTGATAGACAATCTAAACATTGATGGGGCAAAAGTATACTCAGGGTGAAAACCCATTAAAAAAGAAACAACAGAGATAGATCATGGGCTTTCTGGAAAAACTGAAGTTAATGTTGTTCTTGTGAGAGACACTACCTAGTACCACCAAAGGACAAAGGATTACCATACTACACAGTGATCCCCACAAATTTGAAAAGTACTGTTCTATATGAATAAACATAAATATTTAGAAAGCAGTTTGAGAACATGTTCATTTAGCAAGACAACCCCATTAACACACACACACACACACATACACACACAGGTCCTGTGACTTCCCAAGCCCAAGCTCTGGGAACTGGTTTACAGTACTAGGCATGAATTCCCACCTTGGAAACTGAACTCACATTCAGTCAAAACTGATTGGTTAGGTATACCCTTAATCATTTGGCCACTTTTACACCAATGTGTTGTTTTGGAGTCTGAGTAGCATGTGGCAAAAGTCTAATTTTCAAAACTATGTGGGAAACAGCCCTCCAATCATCCTGTGAGAGGCAGAGAAGAGGAACCCTGAGGGACTCTGTGCAGGCTGCAGCAGAGTCAGTGGATGGGCTTAAGTAACGGGAGCACAGTAGTGATGAGCATACACCTCTCCCACAGTACTTAGCATGGAATCTAGAGGCAGTAGCATAGCATCTTGGTACCAGCTGGGGAGTCAGGTAGGAGGATCTGGAGTTCAAGATAAGGACTTTGAGGATAGCCTGGGGGTGCATGAGATCCTGTGTTTTTTTGTTTTTTTTTTTTTAAATCAAACTAAACCAACCAATCAAAAAGTTAGCCAAAAAAAAAAAAAAATGGAGAAAGGAGACAAGTTTACTATTAGATTTAACTGTCAACTTGACATAACCTAGAGTCACTTCAGATTAGCTTAATGAGAAATTATCTAGACCAGATTGGCCAGTGGGTGTGTCTGTGGAAGGCTGCCTTGACTATTAATTGATATAGGAAGACCCAGCCCATTGTGGGCACCACCATTCCCTAAGCAGGGGCTCCTCAACAGTATAAGAAAGGAGAACGCTAGCAGGAAGCAATGGACCCTGCGTGCATTGATTTCTCTCTGCTGTGGGTGTGAAATGACTCCAATTTCCTAGAACTATGATTTCTCAGCTGTGATGGGTTGGATCTGAACTATAAGTCAAATAACCCCCTTCCCCATGTTGTACTTCATCGGGGTATTGCCACAGCCACAGAAATGAAAGTGGGACACAAAGTGTTAAACAGCATTCACAACAAATGGGAATAGAACCAAGAGACCCTGCTTCACGCCAAATTGCCCCCAAAGAATGGTGGTCAGGAAGGCTAGGTGGCAGATAACCTCTCAGGGGCCCAGGTGGCCAGAGTTGGCTGTACATGTACCTTTATGTAGTACTAGATGTTGTGGCTCGGTGGGAGGCAGGAGGCAAATAGCCCAAACTCAGGCTTCACTTGCAAAGGAGTCACTCAATGGTACCAAGGACACGGGCTGCCATCAGACTGAAATGAACGAGCAAGAACTTAAAAATACGGACATTCCACCAAAACACTGACCTCAAAACACTTTTCTCTCTTTGCTTGATGAAGTAGGTTGGCCATTCCAGGGAGCAGAACTGGAAAGATGAACATTTCCAGATAATCTCTGGGGGAACCTGAAACAAGAATATTCCCACTGAAAATCCCAAGACCTAGGTTCATCTGAAAGACATTTACTGCCTAACAGAGAGAGAAGAATGGAAGGAGGGAGGGAAATATAGTCCATCTGGACTGGGGCTATAGCATCTCAGTTGGCCAAGTGCTTGCCTAGCATGCAGGAAGTCCTGGCTTTAATCTCCAGTACCCAATACACTGGGCGTGGTGCAGGCCTATAGTCATAGCACTCAAGTAGAATCAGGAGGATCAAAAGTTCCAGGCAAGCCTTGGCTACACAGAAAGTTCAAGGCAAGACTGGGAGGCCCTGTCTGAAAAACAGCAAAACAAACAAACAAAGAAACAAAAATGCCGTCTATGAGCTGGAGAGATGGCTCAGAGGTTAAGGGCATTGGCTGCTGCTCTTCCAGAGGTCCTGAGTTCAATTCCCAGCAACTACATGGCAGCACACAACCATGTATAATAAGATCTGGTAGCCTCTTCTGGCATGTGGGGCAAATGTGAAGACAGAACACTGTATACATAATAAAACTTTTTTTAAAAAGTGCCATCTATTCAATAGCATGATCTTACTTGTCACTGTCTGCTTCAGGTTGCTGAGTGGGACTGGGTTACTAAGAAACTAAACTTGGCCCTGTGAGCCTCTGGACTCTAGCATGGGGGGTTCAGGCCTACCTGAGTCAAGTTCTCACCTTCTTACAGCACCTAAGCAGTCACAGCACAGAGGTCAGTGTCTGCAGGAGCAGTGATGTGTGAGGTACAATGGGAACTGAGTCTAGAGAGCTGGGATAAGGAAGTACCATAGACAGAGCTTGACAGCCACAATAACCAGTGCTTGCCGGGGGCCCAGAGCAGAATGCACAAAACGAACAAGGAGAAAAAGCATAGGAGGGCCTCATGAGCTGAGGCTCAAAGGGACCAGCAGGCTGGACCTGGAAGCCTGACAACAGGACACTTTCTTCTACTCTGTGCATCTGTTAACCTTTCTGTTTCTAGCTTAGTATTTAGTAGAGTCACAGTGCTTGCTACCTTCTTTCTGCTGAGTGCTAACCTTTCAAAGATGTCAGAGATCCAGCAATATTCCTCTTATAAATGAGGACTATGGTGAGAAGGAGGTAGGTAGCTTAGCTCAGGTCCTGAGTTTAACCTCCAGCACCAGTGTGAACAAAGCCAGGTGTGGTGAGGTGGGCTTGTGATTGCTGGGAAAGACGATTCTTGGGGCTTACTGGCCAGCCAGCTTGGTCTTTTGGGGAGCTCCAGGACTGTCTCAAAAGACAAAACAAAATGAAGAGCTACAATGTAGATACTGACTTGTCTGACCACTCTCACCCTACCCAGTGAGTGTGAATATTACACCCCAAACTTATGGAAGATGTAGGTTCTCCTCCTTACTTACAGGTTTTGGGCTCTACTGTTTCTGCCTTCTTGGGAGGACAAGGCTCAGGAGGCAATACTGGAAATGGGTGCACTGGGAGATAGTGCTCCATGTTGAAGCCATGAGGAACCAGTTCCTCCAACGGTGTGACCTACAGGCAGTGGATAGGACAGTGAGTTCCAAAACAACCAGTAGTTGGATGATTTTCTTTATTTTTAATTTTAAAATTCAACTTATTTATGGGGGGCCTACAAGCATGCATGCCACAGCATATATGTGGAGGTCAGAGGACAATCTGGAAGTTGGTTCTCTCCTTCCACCCTTGAGTCCTAGGAACTGAATTCAGGTTATCAGGCTTAGCCGCAAGCACCTTTACCCATAGGGCCATCTCATCAGCCCTGGTTGTTGTTGTTGTTGTTATTTATTGGCTTTTTTCACCTAAGGAGCTACTTAGACCATAGCTCAAGTTAATAATTAAGGAAAACAATTGAGTCAGTCCCCAGGAGTTAGGATGGCTCGAATTCACTGAATGCTGAAAGATTCAGTCATAGGTTTTGGTGTGCATCATTAGCTGAAACAAAGCTTTAAAATAACTTCAGGTTAGGTCAGATGTTTTGATAATAGCTTTGAGATGAAAACTCTAGAAAACAAAGTACAGTTCACAAGGACACATAGCTGAGATAAAAAACTACAAAGCAGCCCAATTGTTACTAGCTGACATACTTTCCTTGCTAGGGTTGGTTGATGATCAAAGGTGACAATTAATTCCTTTAACCATTTCTGCCTTCAATCTTCTGATATGAAAAAAAAAAAAACTATTGATGAGTGGGTATGTGCCCTAAAGGTTTAAAGTAGAGCTGACTGATTCTTTTTCATATAAAAAATTTAGGTTTGTGATTCCTTTAATATTCCTTATAAGAATACTTCTCAAGATAAATAATAAAGTAATTGGCCCTTTCTTTATAACTGCAAAAATGCAACCTCCCTAAGAATGTCTTGCTTGCCTACATGGTTAATCTGTAACAAGCTGCTTGGGTACGTATGCAGATTGGTTCTTGGGATAATTTGTTTTTCACCTGTAATATGTGATCATGTTTAATCATGTTAAAGGATATGGAAAACAACCACACTGTAAATCCTACATTTCCTGAAAAACTTTGTTGGGGTATATTAGCTGTAGAAAAGGCATGTACAGTAGGAAAAACACAAAAAGAGCAAGAAGAATAGAGAATAAAGAAGAAAACCATGAACAGTATGAGTGTCTTTTTTCTCTAACCACTCAGATGGAACAGTCTAGTACACACTGATGCTGTGGATTCCTTTAGAGCACTATCCCCCCTTTAGAGCCTCCTTTAGAGGCTATCCCCCAGGCAGCCGTAGCACTCCCTTCTCAGAAGAGCCATACTGCAAGTTCTAGCTCCAGTGTCTCCCCTCTCTCCCTCCCAAGCCAGGGTGTGACCCTCAGGGTTATTGGTGCTACTCTTGATAAGGCCTGGGCAATACTCACTGAGCTCACTGTAACAGCAGCTTCCTGTTTCACTTTATATCCTTCTGGAAGGGTAGGCAGCTCAACTTCACACTCTAAAGGGAGGGAGAAAGTGTTCAAATCCACACTTCATTGACGTCTGTGATGCAATTTCCTTCTTATAATAGAAAATTCTTAAACTTTATTTCAGTTGGTAGTTTACATAAATGAAACAAAACTGCTCATTGCAGGTTATTGGTTTTGATTTATTTATTCAAGTAAATCAGTACTGGGATGGAACCCCGGGTTCTTCGGGGTAAGTGGTTTCCTGCTGAGCTATTACCCACCCACCCCCCCAGCCCCAGTAGGTTGATTTCTTTAAGGCACCTTATTCAAAATAAATAAGATGCTTGGTCCCTTGCATGAAAGTTTAGGCTTTATGTTAGGGTCCAAGACACTTTCCCACACACTACAACTTTAGACTTTGCCCAAACATTATGGTAACTACAAGGACAAAGCAGAATAAGACAATGATAAAGACAATGCCAGTAGAGTATGTGGTGGTTTAATGAGAATGCTCCTATCTTAGTCAGGGTTTCTATTGCGGCCACAAAACACCATGACCATAAAGCAAGTTGGGGAAGAAAGGGTTTGTCTGACTTATGCTTCCATATCACTATTCATCATCAAAGGAAGTCAGAACAGGAACTCAAACTGATGAAGAAGCTATGGAGGGGTGCTGCTTACTGGCTTGCTCTCCGTTCCTTGCTCAACCTGCTTTCTTATAGAACCCAGGACCACCAGCCCAGAGAAGGCATGGTCCACAATGGGCTGGACCACCCCATCAATAACTAATTAGTAAAATGACTTACAGATGGATCTTATGGAGGCACTTCCTCAATGGAGGCTCCCTCCTCTCTGATGACTCTTGGCTTGTGTCAAGTTGACATAAGACCAGCCAGCACAACTAACCTCTTGTCAACTTAACACACAAACACATCACTTCCCTTCCTTTCTTAGTCATCCCCAAGATATCACATTAAAAACATAAATAGCTGGGTGGTGGTAGCACATGCCTTTAATCCCAACACTTGGAAGGAAGAGGCAGGAAGATGTCAGTGAGTTTGAGACCGGCCTGGTCTACAAAGAAAGTTCCAGGACAGCTAAGACTGTTACATAGGGAAACCCTGTCTTGAAAACAAACAAACAAACCCCACCACCAAAAAAAAAAACAAAAACAAAAACATAAATATGTAAATTGCTGAGCGGTGGTGGTGCACACCTTTAATCCCAGCACTCAAAAGGCAGAGACAGCAGATCTCTATGAGTTCAAGGACAGCCTGGTCTACAGAGCTAAATCCAGGACAGCTAGGGCTGTTACACAGAGAAAACCCCTATGTCAAAAAACCAAAACCAAACCAAACCAAACAAAAACAAAAAACAAACAAACAAATAAAACCCAAAACAAAAAACAAACAAAAACTTTTAAAAGTCCTACAGTCTTTATAAATTCAAACACATTAAAACTTCTTTTCCTTTAAAATATCCAATCTCTCTAAAAATCCAAAATCTCTTTAAATTTCTGTCTTTCAGTTACGGGTTCCTGCAAAATTCAAAATTAAGCTAAATATTTTCTTTGAGAGGTAAAAACCAGTATACAATTACAATTGGAACCAAGCAAAATCAAACTCCAACAATGTAGTAAGTCAATGCCCAATCTTCTGGGCTCCTCCAAGGAGCTTCAGTCATTTCTCAAACTCTGCCCCCTGTAGCACACACAGCTAGCTGTCTTCTAGGCTTCTGCTGGCTCCACTCCATTGCTGCTGCTCTGGGCAGTCATCCCGTGGTACCAACATCTCCAAAACACTGGGGTCTTCTGCTGCAACCGGGCTGCACTTTCACCAGTAGTCTCTAGTAGGCTCTCTTAATGGTGCTAAGTTTCAATTTCTTTGCAAAACCCTTTAGTCCTGGGCTTCCAACTGCCACTGAGGCTGCACCTTCACTAATGTCCTCTCCTGACCTCTCATAATATCAAGCCTCTGTTGCTCTCCACCACCCCTTTGTGCCTTCAAAATCAGAAGTATCTGGGTGATTCTTACACTTCCAAATTTGGTTGCCAGTGTGAGGTATAGCCTTGGTCATCTCTAGAACATAGCTTGTGTATGCTGACTCTTAGGAAACACTTCCCAGAAGTGTTTCAGTGATGCTGGTCTCTTCTTAATCACTACCAATTTCTTAGCTCCAGCAGAACAGCCCTGGGTGTCCCAGCAAAGCAAAGATTTTGCTTTAGTAGTTCTGGTATCTTGTTAATCACAGCTGACTCTTCAGTCCCAGCTAACCAGAATGACAGACTTTTAAATCAAACCAGCAACTTCCTTCTGACACTTCACAGGCCTCCACCCTCTACACTGTTCTCAACATTCTTATCTTCTAGGCTCCTATAGAACAACCCACTGAGCTCTCAACACTGAATGCTCTTCTAGCCCAAAGTTCCAAAGTCCTTCCACAACCCTCCCCCAAAACATGGCCAGATATGTCACAGAAATACCCCACAATCCTGGTACCAACTTGTCTTAGGGTTTCTATTGCTGAGATGAAACACCATTACCAAATTTCAAGGTGGAGAGAAAAGGATTAATTAAGCTTACATTTCTGTTTTGCTGTTCATTATTAAAGGAACTCAAATAAGACAGGAACCTAGAGGCAGGAGTTGATGCAGAGGCCATGGATTGTTCAGCCTGCTTTCTTATAGAACTCGGAACAACCTGCCCAGGGATGGCACCACGAACAATGGACTGGGTTATCCCCCACCAATAACTAATAAAATGCCTTATGGCTGGATTTTTCCCCCCCCCCCCCGAGACAGGGTTTCTCTGTAGCTTTAGAGGCTGTCCTGGAACTCTTGTAGACCAGGCTTGTCTTGAACTCACAGAGATATGCCTGCATCTGCCTCCCAGTGCTGGGATTAAAGGAGTGTGCCGCCACCACCTGCCTTTATAGCTGGATCTTATGGATCCATTTTCTCAAATGAGGTTTCCTCCTTTCAGATAAGCTTAGCTTGTGTGTCAAGTTGACAGAAGACCAGCCAACACACCTCCCTAGGCTCATATGTTTGAATGTTTGGTCCACAGTTAGTAAAAGTTTTGGAAAGGATTAGGAGCTGTGACCTTTTTGGAGAAGGTGTATCAAAGGGTCGGCTTTGAGGTTTCAAAAGCCCACACCAGGTCCAGTCTCACTCTTTAACTCCAACTACACATCAAATGTAAGCTCTCAGCCATGTCTGCCCACCTGCTGCCATGCTCCCCACCATGATGGTCATGGACTCACCCTCTGATACTATAAGCAAGCCCCCAATTATAATTTGTCTTGGTCATGCTGTCTCCTCACAGGGAAAAAAAAAAAAAAGTAACTCAGACAGCAAACACTGAACAGAAACAGACTTAGAGAACATTCCATTCAAATTCGATAGAATAGTGACAACCACAGCTGAGCAAGGGACATAGATGTTCCTGGAATGCAATAATTGCTTCCCTGAAGGAATGAACAAAAACAAAACCTGTGTCAAGATCATTGTTTTCAAGACAACTGCTGGCTCACGTTGTGGCAATGAGGAAAACTTCAGTCTAGGCAAGGTGGTACGGATGGAATGACTGTATTCACTAGTTTCCTACAGCAGTAATAAAACACCATGACCAAGGCAACTTATAGGAGGGGCTTATTTGGCTTATAGTCCCAGCAGGCTGAGAGTCTGTCATGGCATGGAGAAACAGCAGCGAGCAGCAGGAATGGCAGCTGGTACAGAAGCTGAGGTCCCACATCCTGAACTTTAGACACAGAGCAGAGAGAGCATGCTACTAACGGTATAAGGCTCTGGAAGTCCATACTCCCTTCAACAAGGACACATCTCCTAAGCTTCCCCAAACAGTGCCATCCATTGGGGACCAAGTGTTCAACTAGCTGAGACTATGGGGGACATTCTCATTCAACCATGACAGTGACTGCATTAGATACAAGTTTTATTTCCCTGCCTAGTTGCTTGCTAGGTAGCAGACAATTTCTCAACATTTTTATGAAGCACCTAAGTACCATCTTGGGGACAAGCACACTGATCCACAGGTCATGAAAATATTGAAATTACATTTATTTATTTGTGAGGGGAAAACATTGTCACAGTGCTCATAGGTCAAAGGACAACTTGCTGGAGTCAGTTATCTCTTTCCACCACATGCGTCTCAGGTATCAAACCTAGGCCATCACTTGGTAGCAAGTGTCTATACCTGCTGAGCCATCCTGCTTGCTCAATCATGAGTCATCTTGATTCCTAATACCTGCTACTGCAATGTTAACAGGTTGGAGCATTCCCCATGGGCATTGTTATTGGGAGGGGATGAAATATTTAAGAGGTAGGGCCTCTTAAAGGATGGGATATTCAGGTTCCTTCCTCTGTTTTGTTGGAGTAGTTGTTTTGGATGGGGCAGTAGGAATTGAACTCTGACCCACACACTTGATAGGCAAGTGCTCTACCACTGAGTCCACTTCCTCTGTTGTGCTTCCCTCTCGTTAAATTAGTTTTGCTTTGCTGTGGTCCCACCATGATGTTCTCTGCTCTACCACGGGCCTAAGCAACATGGCAGTTGTGATTTGAATGAGGACTATCTCCCACAGGCTCATATGTCTGAAAACTTTATCTCCAATTGGTGGTGCTGTTTGGAGAGTTGATAGAAACTTTTAGTAGGTACAGCCTTGCTGGGGCAAAGTACATTATCAGGGGCAGGTTTTGCTTAACTTCCTGTACCCTGCCCCACTTCTTAGTAGATGAACTGTGAATTCTCTACTTCCTGTTCCTGATGCCATACCTTCTTGGCCATGATTGTGGACTCTAGCCCTCATAGTTATTTTGTCGCAGAAACTAATACAGTGGCCAGACCATCATGAATTAAAACCTTCAAAATAGTGAGCCAAAAGAAACCCTTTCTCTTTGTAAGATGATCACCTCTAGCACTTACTACTGGGATAGAAAGTTCACTAGCACACCCTTCATCACCTAAACATATGCTCCGAGATGTTCCTCAGATGCCTAAAATCAGACAGCACCAAAAAGTACATAAAGTATATT